AATATTTCTTCATACTGCTGGTGCAACAATCTGTTGTACAAAGACCAGCAAGGTGGATTTGGTTTGGTTGGAGTTTTTTTGTTGTTTTGTTTTGGGTTTTTTTTAAGATAGGAGCTTTAAGTTCAGGAAAAAGTGTTGTGTTACATTGCCAGGCAGCATAAACAAGCAATTTGAACCAGGTTTATTTTCAGATTTCACTGTCACCAAATCTGGTCAGTAAATGAACTTTAGACCTGGGAAAAGGCAGCCGAGAGCACAGATTACTTTCTCTAATAGCTATTCAGAAGCATTTGATTGCTTAATGATCTTTCAGCTCAAGAGTCAAACATTGCTTCACACATAAGCAAAAGTAGTTTTATATACCTGTACAAGAGCTTTTTTTTTTTTATTGTAAACAAGCAAAACACTCACCAAATCTGCACCTGTGGTTCCTCAGATTTCCTCCACCACCACACAGATGCACACAGAAGCCAGTGCTTGCATACAGCCAAGTGGTTTCTTCCTCAGGTGTTCTGTACTATGGGAAATTAAGAGTTCATTATACAGAAGGATTAAAAAATAAAAATAAAAATCAGCCCAGCATCTGAACATTGGATTGTTGAATGATCTGCATAGAGACTAGCTTTAAATATGGATATATAAGAGCTAAGGAGACATATTCCTACTTCAGCCTGCTCAATTAATGAAGTTTGTGGTTTTTTATTTTTTGTTAAAAAGCAGCTGTAGCAACAGAAAATATTCTTTTCAAAGCTCTATTAATCTCCATCCCCTTCTTGCTTCACTGTAGCTTGTTGGACAGGATTTGATAAATGCCATATTCACCACCAAATCTCTGGGCTACAAAAAACAAAGGGTAAACTCAAGAGTTAAAAATGGATTAGGAGACTCAATTCAACAAGTTTAAAATATCAAGAGCCATCAAGGATTAAAAAGGTATCTTTTGAAAGACTCTTAGCAGGAGAGAGCAGAATCAAGACATGCCAGTATCAGCCTAATTGCTGATAAACACCTTTGCAGCTATTTAAACCTGCTGCAAAACATGGAAACCTTCAACATACTTGGATGGTGAGCAAGACACTGCTTGGGTCATTCAGCATCCAACAAGAAGTAATGTCTGAGCAAAGTGACTCACCAGAAGACTCGCAGCACCTCATTGTTCATGCACCTTGGAAGGCAGAAAGATGGTATTCCTCCAAATGGCTTTTATGCCGAGGATCTCCAAGATTTCTTCTTTGTCTTCCCTTACTTATTTGTGCACATAAGCAACTTTCAGGATCCAGTGAGCTTTTACCAATTAATTTACAGCAAACTTAAGATTCATGTTCTTTCCCAGTTTCACAGATATCCAAGTTCACCACTGGTGGCACGGCTATAGGAAGGAGCAAATGGGAACAGGCAATTTTTAAGCTAGCTACTGCCAAGAGAGTGTCCTATTGATCTGTGTGGTCAAGGAGTCCAACAAAGGCAACACACTTCTGTTAGAAGTTTTTGGAGTCCACAAACCAATAAAACAGTCATGGTGGGCAAATCACTACATATACTAAGAATTAAAATCAAAGCTGTTCAAAATTAACTGACCTAAATTTTAGAGTAATCTGAGATGTAGATTAATTTCATCTAGTACTACCATGCTAAAATGCACAACTAACAGCCACTTTCTGGCTCTTTTATTCCTATTTCCTTTTCAAGTAGATACTTGAGACAAACTTCAGGCTTGTAAAGACCCAATAAGGCCATTTGAATTTTAATTTCCGTGTTACTCAGGACATTGTTCATTAAGTAACTTGCAAAGGATTCTTGGTGTTGGATAGTTTCTCTGGGATCATCTCAAACAATCAACCTTTAAAGATCAGTTAATTAGGCTCAGAATAAATTACTACAGGGAAGAGCCCAGTAATTTTGGCACAGGAAAAACTGTGATGTAATTAAGCACCATGAGAACTGCAAAACTGGTTTCAGCTTATAGATGAAACCATGAATACAAATCTGTCAGACCTGCTGGTAAATGACTCATGGAAATATAGTCAAGACACATTTATATGTAAGTCGCTGCACCTGGAAAACATTTATGAGGGAGACTTGTGGAAACACTACAAATTAGCTAGAAAATACAACTCTCAAATTCTGTACTTTCAAGACAAACAGTTTCAGGACATGGTAAACTTGATTCTTAGAAAATTATTTTGCATCGTTAAGCAATACATTTTCAAGATGAAACTATTTGCCAATCAGTTGCTTGCATATTATATTTAGGATGCACTCATGATGACTGCAGACCTAAAATGGAAAGTGCCCATTTGAAAGTACATTTAAAAAGAAAAAACTGTCACCAGTGACTGGACTACTAATTATTTTCTAAGGATTAGATTCTAGAAAACAAGTTTAAAACATTTAAAAATGAGCTAGAAATTCTGAGGAAGCTGCACAAAACATGGAGGTCAGTAAACAGAACCACGTCACATCTCACAAACAGGAAGATTTACTTACATTTCAGCTCCTTTTCTGCCACAAGGTAGAAGACTGACAGTTAAAACAAAATTAATAAATACACAGCTTTTAACTATAAACAGCATTTGAACTATTCTTTAAAAACAAAGTAAAAAACCCCTGAACAAATCAATCTAATATCAAACAGGAAGATATATGAACATTTCAGCTTATTTACGTATTTCAGATGGTCTTTGTTAGACTACCAGCAGCAAGACTACAAGAACTTCCAGTATGCGCATGTCTCCCTACTGATTTATGGGAGGAAGGAAGATAACCAAAGAACATCTTTTAGTAATATCAACCATGCTTCAGGAACTACACTAAACACCGTTTCTAGCTTAAGGTAACTCAAATTAACTTCTGCATATTTCTACGCCACCCTCATCATGGCAGTTGGAACACACTACCCTGAACCCAAACTCAGAAGGCAAGGAACACTGATCCTTCCACAAGTTTCCTATGTGTAGTGCAGCGTAAAATAGAGAAAAATAATCCATTAAGGACCCTTGAGATGTGTATATTCTTCCATTTATTCTCAGGCATACAGACTCTGCTTCAGCTCTCCTGGAAGGAAACACAGACCAAGCCCACTTGAACAAAATAAGCTTCCAAATTCCAGGCAGAGGGGCCTGGCACTCAGCTGGGGAAGCACCCAGACACCACAAAAACGTTACTGAGCACCTTGAGTAGTCTGCTCTTTCCACAGTACTGTGAAGGAAAAAACAGGGTCAGTGTCAAGAATGGTGATAAAACTACAGTAGTTAGATTAAACATTTATTTTTCATATATTCACAAAATCTTCACAAAAGTATTGAAACTCAAAAAGGAATTAGACTTGAGTCAAATACAGAGATGAAATGTACAAGACAAATGAGCAGGCAAACTAAAAGGTCTTGAAAGTATTTTACTTCAGATTGAAAAACGAACAGTTCAACTGTTCTGTTTAAATAAAGATTTGCAAGATATACAGTATTTTATGAATACAATGCTGGTCATTTGAGGCAATGTAAAATACCTCAATTTTTCCTTCATGCCTTTTTTTTTTTCTTTTTTTTTCTTTTTTTTTCCCAAGCTTTTAGAAAGATACTGTTTACCAAAAAGAAACTTGAGCAGTCCAGGAAAAGCTATTTTCCATTAAATTTATGAAAACCATAAATTGAGGCAAACCTAAGATTCCCAATGGAATCAAGATTATCTTCCCGCTACCACCACCTTAAAATTATCACATGCTTATTGGAACACTAATATCTGCACCCTAAGAGTACATTTGCTTTCAACAATGAGGGTGATTCTTTTAAAAACACTTCAGTGTGGTAAATGCGATACAGATCTTTGCAAGTATTAAGTTTTGGAACAGTTTTGCTAATAGCAGCTAACAATACTGGATTAATATAATTTATAAATAATTGTTCCCTAAGCGGTGAACATAAGTCTACACAGTCACAATAATCTAAAACAAAATAAATACTGTGATTATGCATAATGTGGTACAACTTTTACTAGTTTCTATGAACAAAAGCTCAACATCTTGTTGATAAAATTATCTGATCAAATTAAAATATGAATCTAAAAATTTTTTTTAAAATTGTCAAATTAACATCACTTAAGCTTAGTGTTTGAGTAAATGTTATAATTATCCATATTTTTGGAATATATATATTTTCCTTTTTGAAGTAAAACACTTTAATACATTAAAAATGTTTATTAATTTAAGTGATGACATCAGTTCTGGTCTTATTTTAGCATTATTTTGCTGTAAGAATCATTGCACTCATTAGTGCCCATTAAAGGTCAGGTTGGTCTGTAGTATTCTGTAAATGTATATAAAAAAAAATTTTCTAAAAGCTAATAGTACTTTTTATAAAAGCATCAACTCCAAAACAGCTGCATTAAATACAGCCACATATGCCGAGTACAGACTTTCCTCTTTAAAGAAATATGTGAAAGTAAATGCCACTTAACTTTCTACCATTGAAGTGTCCCAACTCCTGTTCCAAGCTATGCCTGTGAGTGTAATTATACATTTAATTTGCATTCATGGCATCAAAGTTCCTGCAACCTAGACTTGTAATGCGACTGAACCAGACAAATGCAGAGTTTAAATTAAATGATAACTAGGTCAATGGAGAAATACTGTGAGATATGAAAGGTTTGGGTCTTTAAGGCAATACAAAATATATTTCATTATTTGAAGTTGTTTTGTCTTTTTTTAAATAATTAAGTGTAAATATAAAAATGCCTAAGAGGGGAGTGAGAAAAAAATACTTTAACTGTAAAATTTACTTAAAGCTTTAACAGTTATAATCTCCTACAGGAGATAGCAAAAATACAAAAGACAAAAAACCCAGACCTGGAAGGGGGAGGGAAGGCACAAACAAAGAGGCATGGGATTAAAGCAGCCCAGGAATGCAAACGTCTGTAACAAACTGAATTTTGCTGTTTGTTTTTTTAAAACCGAAAAAAAAATAAGAAAACAATCACCACCATCAACCAAACAAAAAAAACCCAAGTGGCTTTTTGCTTCTTTAAAAAAAGAAAGGGTCAGGGAGAGACCACTAAGGGGAGAAGGATGCAACTATAAAACCCCATTGCCTGAAATGATGGCACTCTAGAAAACGAGGTGAAGGTTACTTCTCCGAGATGACAAGCTCAGTGTCTACACAAAGTACATGTACACTTTACACAAATGAAAAACTTCATTTGCCACCATAAACCTTTCTTTCAGAGGAACAGCTTTTGCAGATCAAATGTTCTATTAAATGTTTTAATGCCAAGAAAAGAAATTCTGAGCAATGTAGCTAGTAATGTCTCTTTATATGGATGTTAAGATGACAATTCAGATTATTTTCCAAACTAATCCTGAGAAAAATTTATGTTTACAATTTAAACAGTAATGTTATGTAAAAAGTATTAACAAATCCACTATTACAAATGTCAGTTTTCCTATATGGTCATCTATATATACATAATAAAATGGTAAGTATATGCAAAAATAATAAAAAAATCATGCACAAATTACTTTCACCTTTAAAGGCTGGGTTTCCCTCAAAATACATTTTTTTTTGCTTTTTTTTTTCCTATTTTTTGTGTTTTATTTGTTTGTTACCACCCCCTAGACACACTGAGTACTACCTCTACAGGTCAGCATGAGCTGATGGGAAATACATTTATTTTACATTCAAGCTTTTATATCCTAAATGACCCTGTTGTAGCATATGACTTATCAAATGAGCAGCCTTTTTCCTCTTTTTTTTTTATTTTTTTCTTTTAAAATTTTTTTCTTTTTTTTTTTAAATTTTTTTTTTTTTTTTTTTCTTTTTTTTTTTTTTTTTTTTTTTTTTTTTTTTTGCAGTGATCAATCTTCGTGATCCGTTCCGTGGCGAGCTGGGAAAAAAAAATGCAGTTGCTAATCAATGTCTGAACAGTCTGAAGCTCCGGAAGAGATCCAAGGAGTCACTATCAAACTATCCTGTAGCATGAGATCATTGCACACAGAAGAACAGTCATAAAATAGGCAACTATCTACAAAGGTCTGAAAGGGCTGCATCCCTCTTGTGTTTCCTCTTTTTGCCGTGGAAAAACTGATGGTGTGATTTGCTGCCTTGATGTTGTTTGTTCGTGACTGAGGTACCGTGGCTTGAGTTTGTTGGACCTTGGAAGCCTTTGTTAGAAGAGCGAAATAACCGTGCAGATCCATGCTGAAAAAGAAAGAGAACACGGTAAATCAGTGCTGAAAAGAAAAAATTGTGGCAATTACACAACCCCATTTCTGGATAATGAGGACACTAGCTCATGGAAGTGTTACACTTGAAAGCATGGATATGGCAAAAGAAGCCAGGCCACTGCTTAGACAGCAGCACAGGACCACGAATCTTTCACTTCGGTGGTTGCAAACAAATGTTCATCTCTAGACCTAAAAACATGCAGGTCAAGAGATAAGAGTAGAGCACTTTGAATTTTGAAAAGGATATTCTACCACTCCCATTTTGCAACCATCAAAAAAGTGTTCTACAGAAACCAAAGTCCATAATCCAAGACAGGTGAAGACTGCTCAAATCTCATTTTCTGTACAAAATTAAGACAACATTCTTTTAAGCTCATGACCAACTTTATATTGCATCTTTTTACAGATGTCGACTATCTGAGACTGTGGATATTGACATTCCAGCACCAGGACTAGCTCTGTGTAATAACGCAAACACCCGGTCATGGTGTATCCAAGGCCTCGTTACTAGCTAGAGACAGATCATCAGCAAGTAGGAGGCAGCAAGTCTTCAGAATTACTTTTCAAGAATAATATTCCAGAAGATTACAGACTACTTCTCATACATTAAAGAAGTCCTAAATTCTGGAAAAGTATAAAAATTTAAACTGCATATATCCAAAGCACACGGTATTTAGAAGCATATAATATTTACAGATTACTGAGTTGTCATAGAAGCATTCCTGAATATGAGAAATCCCCTAAATGCATAAGCTTTGGTAGGTCTCATCATAAAGGTGTTTGTCCTTAGGGGTAAATGAGAGAGAATTTCATGTATCAGCAAGAAATCTTCATGTCCCTTAATGGAAAACAGTTCAACAAGTATCAACAGCTAACAGAGCAGCCAGTCATAGTTTTAAACATACATTTTTGCCAAGTGTTTCTCACTAAGTGTAGGCAAGTCTCCTTAGTTCTCTAGTTCTGCAGTGAAGACTGGGCTGACGTGCTTTTTGCAAGAAGGAAATGGGTGCAACACAACTGTATACTTCTGGCAAATCCAGACTGCCCAAAATAAAATCAGTCCAATTTAACCTGTTTTAGGGCTGGGAAAGCCACTGTTGCAAGCTCATCTGTGTAAGCTAAACCGAGAGCCAGGTGATTTCAGATACAATCAGTGCTCAAAGCTTTTTAGTGGGGTAGCAAGGAGATGAAAAATGCAGTTTCCTTTCCAGAACAAGCATCCCTTCCATGGAGGAAAAACGTAATATTCAAATAATCTGCACAGTTGTTGTTTCCAAACATTTCACAAACCTGAGATTTGTTCGTGTTGCCGGATGTATTGGCTGTTTGGCTATTTTGAGTTTTCCCACTTGACTGGGAGGATTCCAGTGACACTTCTTGTGATCCCACTCTGTTTGTGGTAGACTGACGACAACTCAATTGTTTAGAGGTTTTGCAAGGTGTTCCATCAGAATCCTTCACGAAAATGTAAAGTATTAGTGAGTTTTTCTTAAGAGTCAGTGAGTTTTTCTACAAGTGAGTTTTCCTTTAAAAATAAAGCTATCAGTGGTCAAAACTTTAAAAATGTTTATTTTATTTAGATATTAAAATTCTTTCAATCCAGAATTCTTACTGAGTAAAACAGATTTAAAAATATTTTGATGCATGGTTCTGATTTTGGGATTTGCCTTTTATTTTGTAAATAGAATTCCCAAACAGATTTTTTTAAGGCTTTTTTTTTTGAAAGCATATAGCTTAGGACTACCAGTCTTTTTTTGAAATACAGTTTTCTCAGAGAAAAGAGGGCTATGTAACTTTGTACTTACAGTATTCACTTTCTACATGTGTTGTGTCAAAGACACACTGCAACTTACATGTACAGAAATTGCATAAGAGGTAACGTTTTACACAAGTTAGGATTCGGGATGAAATAACTAACTAGGATTCTGAGCTTTCCAAATGTATTCCGTGGCAATATAAATCAGGATAATAACTAAAGAAACTGGAAAAAAAAAATCAGAAAACCTCCAGTACTTACTACATCACTAGAGCTGGATAGTGTAGATGATGATGATGATAAAGGACCTGATGAAGAATTTGAAGAATGTTTGCTAAGTGTTTCTGAAGTTTTATTTCTAGGTTTTCCCAGTGCTTCATTCTCTTCAGCAAGATTATTGTTGCATTTGTCTAGCTGCTGAGTATCTACTATCAAGGTTACTCCATTACCTATGAAAAGCAAAAAACAAAACAGAAGCATCACCACACACTAACTGCTAAAATATGTTGGCTTTTTTTTTTTTTTTTTTTTAAACATAGAGATACCCACTCAGGTGCTGTGTATCTGTGAGACCCAGCAGGACACGTACAGACATCTGCACATGTACAAACTTTTAACACATGCAGACACACATGTGCGTGTGTTTACACGTATGTACTGCACGCAGCGAGCAGACACCTCGCAGAGGCTGTGGTGGTTTCCTGACAAGATCCATTAATGCACACTACGAAAATCACCGAGCATTACTCACAGATCAAGATGGAAATTATAGAGGTAAGACATGGAAGAAGGTAGTGACAGAGCTCAGACGTGCTGCTTAGTAAGACTGTTTCACGACACGCTTGAACAGCACTCCAATACAGAGGTTTACATTCTGTTCCTATATGCCCAATACTCAGCAGCTCCCACTTATCCTCTGCTGGAGCTGCTAGGGTCATAGTAACTCCAAGTAAGCCCGGTTGCTTTGTATGATACTCTGCACTGCAAATACATGATACAGAACTCTCATATGAGAGTCTCTAGCTTCTACCTTAATGAAAAAAAATAATTTGAACTTAAATATAAACTAAGTCTGCAAGACAGCCACTGTAACTGCCACTGTTATCCTCCTGATACAGGGTTATTTTTATTTTTTTAATTATTGTTTTAGCTCACATAAGATAACTAGGAGTTACCTTTGATTTATGTAATACACATTTGTTGCCCCATGAGCTGTATTTGTATAGAGTTTAATCCACACATCACAAGCAGTAGCTAAGTATTACTCTGGAGCTTGTGGGACTGAACTGGGGTTGGCTGCCATTAGCACAGGGCACAGCAGTGCCTCAAGGGTCTACAGACTGAGAAAACACACGTGGCCAAGAAGCACACTCGACTTACAGGGCCAGTGAGGGAAAAGACTAACAAAAGCTTTAAAAACAAATAAACAAAATCCCAACCTATCCTAAAGACTGGGGAGTTGTGTCATCCTCTCTGATTAATCCCTAACAAGAGAAGATCTCTAGTAGGTAACATTCTAAAATTAACTGTAGAATAAAAATAGATTTTAAAACTTCTAGCCAGAAAACTTCCTTCCAGCAGCATCCAACCTACACCAAAAGAGGGTGACAACTGGCTGGTGAAATCAGAAGACGGGCAATGAAAATAAAGATTATTTTAAAGTACTTTTGCAGCAGGCTCTCTGGCTAGATTTTATGTATTTCTATTCATTAGTAACAAGAATTATGATTGATATTTCAGGATTTTTCTGTTTAAAAGATTTATTCCACTTACATGGTCAATCCTGGTTTAAATATTGCTTCTGTACATATACAATATGTTAAACTTTAAAATGAAAAATAAAAGAAAAACAGAGGGTAAGGATTTAGATTTAAACTAGCATTCCCACTAATTCTTTTTAAAACCTTGTCCTCATTTAAAGGACAAAAGAAGTGTGACAGTAACAACATGTGTAATGTAAATGGGAAGGTGTTTGAAACGCCTCCTTTTGCAAGCCAGCACTCTTTACAGACCTCTACGCTAACCAAATGTATTGCAGTAGAATAAAGATGTGCTGTGGCTTTTTCACTCTTGTATGAATCTCAATTTTCTGGACACAAACACTATCACGACTGAGCAAAAAAGTAAACGTATATTAAGATGCATACCTTGCCTTATGTGGGGCATAAGCAACAACAAAATTTATAGGATCAAAATATGCAGGAAGCTTCCCGCTGTCAGCCACGCTTCGTCAAGACTTACCATTACACGAAGACTCTGTCCTACTTTGCATTCCCCACTGCTTTGATATCCAGTCTCTGTATGTGGCCACTTCTTGTGTTACTCTAATTATCCTACCTAATATACTGTAAACCAGGAAAAAAACAAAACCGTCACCACAATTAATGTTTAGACGCATCAAAATATAAACAATTAATATCTGAGATTTAGACTCATAAAATTTACCTTTCTGTTTCGTTGTTAGGATAATATTTAGCTATTGGGGAAACTGCATGGCTCAAAACAACATAGGCATAATCAAAAGCCTGTTTCACTTGCATGGCACCATATGAACTCCTCCCAACATCATTACCTTAAAATAAGAATATAATTAATTAAATGAATAAAGCTGAAACTGTGGTCATCTCCTTTCAGACAGGAGATAGTAATATTTTTTAAAAATATTTTTGAAAAATAGTCCCAACTCACTGCAGGTACCTCGTGTAGAATAGGATTAGTGAAGCATAAATATTTGAAATAGCTTAAAGACCTAAAGATATTTACATGCAGAGAAGTCCAAAATGGCAATTCTCTGGAAAAAACTGCAATACATGAAGAAAAAAAAAAAAACAAACTTACATATTACATATATATCTTACACGTGCACATCTAACACATCCTGTCACAGGATGACATTTTTCCAGATCAGAAGTATGTGAACCCTTTTTTATGAATAAACCTCAATTCACCATCTCAGAAGCCACCCATTCAAGTCAACAATCAACCTGCCACTGTGATACAGGCCAGCAAAAGCTTGGAAGGGACCACAGTGCATACAGGTCCATCTAGCCCACCCTCAGGCCAGTGCTGCTGCAGCTTTGTTGCTCTCCCCACAGCACATGTGACAGCTGCTTGTCGTGCCCTCTCATACCTCTCGACTGCAGTACAGGCGTGCTCTTGGGTGACACACTAACTGTTGCTAGGAACACGTCTTAACGAAAATCATTGTGTTCTGAGTGCAACTTGTTTTAATATACAAGTGAGGTGTTTCTGTTTGGTTTCTGGTGGTCATCCTGTGCTATTCTTTGATTTAACTCCTCTGGATTAAGCATTCCCCTAACTTTTTTTCTTAGCCAATACGTCAGTCGTGGTTGCTGAGGATACCTGGCTGTAACGGATCTTCAATATACAGCATTGATGGTCTGTAGCCATCCAGCATGCTCTTTTGCACTTCATCCTTGGCAACGTAAGAGCCACCATCCTTTATCCGGATTCCAGTCTTCAGATAATTGAAGTGACGTCCATATAATTCAAAAAACTCTATTAAAAGAACACCATAGTTGGCATTGGGCATACAGGCATCTTCCCTGGGATGCAGCTATTAAGAAGAGAGAGAAAAAAAAATCATTTCCTTAAGATATCAAGTTCCAAATCCTTTTAAGTGCCTTTTCTTTTTCAGAGCAAACATGTCTAAATACAGTAATAAATAATAATAAAACATAATAAAGCTAACATGTCTAAATATAGTTTTTCCTTGATAAAACAGTTTTGCATCTTTAAAATAAGATAATGTTGAAACTTTTATAAACTAATAACCTCTTAAAAATAAGGCTGGCAAGTATCAATATTTTTGTATTTGAACTTTCAGTTCAATAAGTGAACTTCCAGCACTATATGACAGGGTTCTTGGAAAAAAGTAAAGATATTTGCACTTCAGGAACGTGGGTTTGCAATGCAAACACAGGCTTTTAATGCACACAGCTATAGAAATGTTAAGTATGCAGCCCGACAAATTATGAACAAAACCAGTTCACAATTGTAACAGATACAAAACTTGACTTCTTTTTTTGCAGGAGCAAACGGGAGTGCTATTAGTCAATGTAAGAAAAAATGGGGGTTGGGAGAGATTTTGGTTTCTTTCAAAAACGATATGCCTGTTGCCTTCATTTCTTTTGTGCTCAGCAGGCAAGTGCAACAGCAAACACCGAGCTCCAGTTCAAGGCTCAGATTTAAAAGTAACTACTGTCTGGTAAAGTACAGACACACACATACACAGTTATACAACAACATTTAGTACAAGAAAAAGAATGAGGTTGATAAAGCCAGATCTTGGCTATTTCATATTTCTACAATATTTTTCTCCCCCAGGCTCAACAATAAAGATTTAGCTCATGCGTTTTGTTCTCTTGGATTTAAGAGAAATCTGTAAACCACATTCATTTGATACCACTTAAAAACCTAGAAAAACAGGCAGAATTCTGCTGCACTCACTAAAGCACATACAGGGTGTATGACCTGGGAAACAAGTGTCATAAAGGACAGCTGCACCTAACACTAACCTATGTAGTTTATTCCAAGTAAGTTACACAGCAACCAAGTTATTTTGCCATGAATGACACGTGTGCCTGGTTCTGATACACCAGTGGATGTCCCAAACATCTCTAATACCAAAAGTACCAGTACGGGAGAAAGAAGACATGTGGGATGTGTCTATGTTCAAATGAAAAGGCAGTGCAAAACCACAAACATAACAGCTTAAATTATGAAATCTAAGAATTTATTAAATTCCTTCTTAATGTAATGTCCTTTTGCACCAATGGGTTTCATTAAGCTTACCTGAAGGAAACTGACAGCCATTAAAAAAAGACTATAAGAACCAATTCCACCTGTAAATACTTCATTAAGGTCCCTCTGCAACAGGAACTGTTTCAATACTAAAACTAGATACGGTAATACGGGATATTTCTGAAAGAGAAAAAGAAAGGTTAGGATACTGCAATGCACATGTACAATGGATGCTAAGAAAGCATATTGAAGCTATCTGTTATATTAAGTTTCAAAGCTAAGTATAATCCTAACTTATTTTTAGTAACAGGGGAGAAGCCAAGTGCTCTGCCTGCGATCAAGACAGTTCTTTTACCTCTTCAGCTCCAGTGGCAGATATTAACAACAGAAAAAATTATTACTTCATAAAATCAGAATTATTTTGTTTGAATATATAAATACACTTGCTTTTCTCATATAAATGAAAAGGAAAGCAAAAGAAGAACTATGGAGATATCCACGTCTGTAACAAACCCTTCCTGCTACAACCCAGGAGATATCCCAACGTGGACTAAGACATCTGTCCTGCAAGTACTTCAGATACCCAGAGTTCAAAACAGTTCTCCAAAATTACAACACCCAGATAACATTTTCAAAGGAGCCAAATACTTAACTTTGGGGAACCAGCCCTTCAATAGGTTTGTTTGCATGGGTTCCCTTAGAGGTGTGCACACACTGCAGCACGTGCAGAGAACGTGGACCTTTGGACAGCAGTGGAGGCTGGGCCTACACCTGCACTCTGTACACTCCCTCACAGCGGAGAGGGCAAGAGAGGCTTGATAATATCACTCCTTTTATCAACACAGAACTAAAGAGTCCCTTAGTGTCAGAGAAGGGATGTGGATCATGGTATCTGCGATTACAAAAGATTAAAGGGAAAGAAGAATTTCTCCAAAAACTTCTCTGAATGTGTCCGATGGTGTGTACTGGGAGCCCTATTTAGACCCCAAGATCACCTCTTTGAACTACTAAGAACTTACAGTCACATGCTGAAGTGCTGAATACCAGTATATACCAAAATTAAAAGACGGGATTTTTCTCAGGAAACTGCAAACCCTTAATTAAGGCTTCAGCTGCCTCAGACTTCCTAAATGAACTGGAAGAGGAGAAACAGGCATTTCCAAGGGTAATACTGAACACAACACCTCAGTTCGGAATTCCGAGTTACGTGGGACAAAATAAGACCCAAGAGAATGCCCTGCAAGTGTTTTATAGAGAGATCCTCAAGAAGACCAATGAAGTCACTTGGCAAGTGCATGTCAAGTTTTCTCCAAGTTAAGCAAATGCCCCTCCACAGCAGTGCAGCCACTGCCTGCTGTACGTCAGGGCTGAGTGCCACCTCTCCCCACGGCGCCAGGCTCAGCCCACTCTGCTCAAGGCCAGCTCTGGTGTGACAGACAGAGCTGCACGGCCTTGGCTTGTGCTGCTGGGAAACAGCCGTGTGGGAAAGCGCCATGTGGGAAGCCCTGTTGGGGGGAGTCCTCCTGCTTCCCTGAAAGCTGCTTTTTGTCTCAGCTGTTCCCCTTGGTGTCTGCCTGAGCCACGCTGCTGCTGCTGCCACTGACCCTAACCACTGACTTGGCACCCTCAGCCTCGACCTCTCGCTGGGGACTTCTCTGCCAGCTGCTGGCTGGACTGTGAGCTGTCCCCAACTGCTGTCACCAGACCTGTTCTGCACTTCACGTTGGGGTACCAGGGGGCTGCTCCAAAGGGTTACAAATAACCCAGGCAACAGGAACAAACTAACACTTTTTTTAAGCACAAAAAATGCCTTCAGGCTCTCAAGAGAAGACTACCTCCTATCTTGAAATTAAGAAGTATACAGGCAATTTTGGGCAAGCATGCAGGGCTTCATGGACTTACCCAAAAATAAATGTATAGGCAGAGTGCAACAGAAACACAGCCCCTGTGTTGTGACAGAAAACCAAATACAAACAGCCTGTCCATCGCAAGCCAGTAAGACAAGGCACAGGATGTAAAAACTAAAGTTAGCTACCATTTCCAGGTAGGCATTTTATGACCAGGAATCTGGGTATCTTCCTTCCCCAACACAGAGCTACATAGCACAGAACTATTGGCTTTATGGTCCCTTCCAACCCAAACCATTCTGTGATTCTATATATATTACAGAAAAACAACTGTAATGTATCTATGATACGGGTATTATGAATCCCTGAAAAATAACTTACTAAATAACTTATTCTACTTAATTAGCATTTGTTTGGTGAAACAATATTCAACCTAGAACAAGATCATTCCTACTTTCTGCAGGAATGTGTGCTTATTACTAATTTTAAGTTCAAGGAACCACAGTTAGAAGAGTAGAGCATTTAAGACAGGTGTTAGTGCATTTTTCTTAGTCATTGTAGCATTGTAACTTCTCCATAGTTCCTTTGTATATATTTTGTCCTTTGCCTTAAGGCAATATATCTAAAACCTAACAATATCAAACAATAGTTTCAGACAGCAAAAAGTAACAGACTGAAAGTGTATCTCTAATAAGAATGCAGTCGAAGTAAAACAGAAAATAAAATAAAATCATCAAATATTCAGCTCTGTAGTTCTATTATTGTGTTTCCTAACCTTGATAAAATCTTTGATGAGCTGGGCTGCTTTAACCCCATTCTGTACATTAAAGCTTATATCAACTTTTACTTCAGTGAAGGAATCTGTCAGTTTAATAATAGGTACCTGCAAAAGACAGACAGATTAAGTCAGTACAGATTTCCAGGACACATTTGGTTTCATTGATACTTACATGCACTGGTAAAACTGAAATGTTTTATGAATTTGTGGAGAGGAGGTAGACAGAGAAGACAGGACACCTATTTATGAACTCACACTCCTTGCCAATCTGTTTACATAAACTTTGCTTTTCTAACTCTCAAATGCTATTTTCAATTTACTATCCTTTTTAACAGAACTTAATGCTTCATCTTCAAAGTGATTTATTTCAAATTTTATTTAGTCAGTTCCTGGTGCAGAAGTATAGTTCTAGTGGGGAAAACAAACACCAGAGGGAGACAAAAGCTCAAGAAATAAAGATAAATGGTAATAGACAGATATTCTTAAGAAAAGACACACTCACACACTCGTGTCACTGTGTGATTCCTCACCAAAATTATCTTCAAAAAAGAAGCACTCTGACATATCTCCACCTGAGTGATTTCCAAATTACCTCTCTGTACTAATAATAGCCATGAATTAAGACACCTGTTTAAATCCCAACACTCTCACATACTCTTACAATTAGCAAAAGGTAGGAAGTTATAACGGAATGGATCCTATTCTGTGCAAGACAAACCATTACATTTTTATACAAGGCTGTACTTACTACTTTCACACTACATGTGAAGACATATTATGTCTGCTTACATAGAATAAGAAAAAATAAATCATTTAGGTACAAACTCAGTCCATTAATTCACAAGTCTAATCACATTAATTCACAACAACGAGTAGTATAACCTCACTTAAAAGCAAGTGTACGCTGTGCAGTACGGAAAATCCGATGATTTTCCCCAACAGAAGAAATGCTTCTGTTGGAGCACTATCAATTATTTTGTCAGTAACACAAACTGTACTAAATAAAAGGGTTCTATTGGTTCTATTTCAAATTTATATAAAAAAATAGTTTCTGCTTCTGAAAATTCATCCTTTTAACCAAGATCTTTCTTTGATTAGAAATTTAGTTTAGAACAAGGAAATACCCTCTTCCCCCAAACTTACAGTTGCTTTATCTAAAACCTTTACTGAGTTTTCATCTGCTACATTGTGCTTTCTAAGAGCTTCTTCCAGGGTCCAAAGAGGTAATGTCTCCCATTTTCCAAACACAACTAAATCAATATCACTGAAATGGAAAGAAAATATAGATTTATTCAAATAAAAAGACCAATACACTTAAAAGATAACTGACATCCACACATAACTACAGTAAAGCTGACAGAGTGTAGCTTAAACAAGTAATTTATTCTTAATTTTCTGAGGAAAGGAGTGGCGATGAACTCTTACACTTGGGGAAATGCAGAACATTTCAGGTTACCAAGGGGAGGAGACAGCTACACATACAAATCAACTGCGTTGGAAAGCCCAAGATTAGTCTCCTCAGGCCACACTCTTAGAAGAGAGGGATCAGCTTCTCCAGAGTGCTTCAGAGCAAGAAATTAACTTGTGAATCACCACCTTTGGGCTGTATTAATCAGTAAAGGCTGATTTAACAGCTTGTCACTGAAAGGGAAAGTCCTGTTCCCCATCCTCTACTCTCAGATGTATGGCCCTGTCTCGTCCTGTGCTCTACCTCTGGTGTTTGTCTATTCCACAGCAAATCAATTAATTATATTACTGGGCCTGGCAGTAACCAACTTCCCTCACCCCACCCTTTAAAAAAAAAAAAACAAAAAAAACCAGCCCAAAACATTCTGTTTTGTAATTTCCTGCTTCTTTGCAACCAGCAGTTGTCTTTCTGGGTGATCGGACCACCAGTAGGCACATGGTAAGCAGCTGGTCTGTGGTGGCAAGAACAGGGAGCAGGGAAGGACAGAGGAAAATGTGGCAACTTTGACTTCAGGAAGCAGCAAGCAGTTAAATAACATCAAACCATCTAATTAACTTTGCTCATTAACTCAGCTCCTTTAAGAGGTGTCTCCATCCCACTACAATTCCCCCCTACACACATACACATTCATTTGACTACACAGGGAGCTGACACCCTAATTCAATGCCTAAATTCAAATTAAAAAGGTGAGTGGTGTCTGAACTGAAGACAGCGACAGTTACTGTGAGACCCTGAGTTTTTCCCTCTCTGCTCCCCAACTTCCTCTTTGATTTCCCCTGCTTGGTTGGGAACACAAATGTGAGCATATAACCATACGGTTATAACAGCAGGCCACTTCAGCAATATGGAAAACTGGGTAACAGAAAATTTAGGAATACTTTTCCCCCCGTCTAGATTCTACAGGTCTGCTGATTCACAAGCAACACTACTTTAATCACCTCAAAGAAACCACATCTGTATTAGATGAAGTATCTCTTGCCGACAAGCAGTGTCGGCAGCAGGCAAGTTCAGCAGCAGTTCAGCTGCATACCATTCAGCTGACAAGGACAGGCAGCCCTCAGCCAGTTTCAGAAAACTATGCTCAAAACCTGCTTGGAGAGCAGGAAATGCTGCTGGACACTTCTCTTCTAAACTAAATCAGTGTTAAACCCACAACTGATGCTGACAGTTAACAACGAGACACATTTCTCTGATGCAACAGAGAAAAAGCAGCTCTGTCGTCACCTTGAGGATAGATACCGCCTGCAAAATAACACAGAGATCTAGCAGCTAAATAACCCTGTGCCCAAACCTTCAGCATCAGATTAAGTAAAAGGATATTAGACAAATCCTAACACAGTGTAACAGAATTAAAAACACACTATAGGTCTTTCTGAATCCCAGAACCTGAAATCTAAATTAACTGTATTATACAGTTACTGACAGGTGATGAAAACCTAGGGCAAAGGGAAGCTTCGATAGAAGGCAACAATCAATTACCAACACACAAATGCTGGTTACTTTGAAAGTTTGGCAGGGGATAAACACATTTAAATAGCGTAGGTCTGAGGTTAACACTTGAATTGAGCTCCCTACTTTGGGAACATGTGGCATTAATATCTAGTACTGCCTGCATGTGATGGATACCCGAGCTGTTGTTTCATCTCTTTTTGAAAAAGAAAGTATCTGTCAGATACTTTTCTATCAGCTTTAGTTTAAGGACTTGCAGGAAAGCTGAATTACTCAGGTGTACAAATATACGTTGTTTTCACATTTGGCCTTGTTCTTTGGCCAAACTTTCAAAGTCACCAGCATTTCTGTGTTGGAAACGTAACTATTGGGAGATCAGCTAAATCACTACAGGGGTACAGGTTCCACAAGGCTATCTTTTCTCTTGTACAGAATTTACACTGAAAAATTACTAACCTTGTAGGTAAATATAAACCAGTTTTAAAACTTCCAAATATCTGCACCTGAAACACAAGAACAGGATATATGAAAACAAATTTTTAGGCTTCAGAAGACAAACAAGTTCTACTAAGTTGATTGTAAAAGCTGGTTATTGCTACCCTCCATTGGTAGATTTTGGTATTGCTAACAGGCACATTCTAAACAGAAGTACTCTTTTCTGTTAAAATATTTACATCTTCAGTGTAGTATAAACAGCTAATCTTCATTGTCACTACCCACGGAACATTAGTAACTTTGATTTTTCTATTCTAAAACCTTCTTTGCAATGTAAAAATTTTCACCGTGACTGAATTTGGCAAAATCCATAAACCAAAAGATATTGAAAGACACAAGAATGACAGAACATAAAAAGTTCCAGAAAGTTTCACATCCCACAGATTTAGTTTTTTGTGCTGGATTTTTACTAGCACTGGAGGTTTAAATGATCAGGTTTTCATTGTAAGCTGTCCAAAACCACGTTCTCATTAACTTAGCCAAGTCTCGCAGGGAGGTGGGACTCATGCGCTAAGTCTCAAAGGGGGACTGGTGAGACTTCAAAGGAAAAATATCTACACATTTGGACTAATTTTCAACCAGTCTTCTGATGTGTTTCCTGGAGCCACCTTACAGATTTGTGTATTCTGCTTTAATCAGTCTCATACACTAGCCTGACTGTCACCTATTTGTATGTCAAGTGACCCACTTTCTATGTTTTCTCCTTTGGGATAAGAAAAAGGAGGAGATGAGAAAAGATTATGTTTTGCAAATAAATGTCTTGATACTTTAGTAGACTAAGAGGCAATATGAGTGCTTCCTCTTGATTATTTTATATCACTTCACTCTTTTTACCCCCTCACCCCTACTCCCAACAAAAAGCACAGGCTGGCAGTAAATTCCATGTTGAAAGTTCATAGCTTCTCAAACTTGAGAAGACTGTTAAGAGATGCCACAGAACTAGCATCAATATTGTACTAGATCTGGACAAAAGCATAAAGGCATCACAAAGCTAAGAAGGTAATCATAACTATTATTACTATTTTTAATCCAGGATCATCATAAAAAGCATCCGCTGTGAAACTGAGGTCAGTCAAATAAGGATTTATTTAGCCACCAAAAACATCTGAAAAGTGCTTTTGCACAATAAAACAGCCACTGATGGGTGGGAAAAAACTAAATGTGCTTTCACATTATCAAGCAAAATAGTGTGTTCAGCTGAACAGCAAAGAGGGCCTTTATTGAATAAACAACCCTGAAAGTATTCATAAACTTACTGATACAACATATATGACCTTTACGGAAAGGAATGAGACAACATCTGCTGTTGTACAATAATTTGGAGTATAAGAAACACTGAATTAATATAAAAGAAACCCACACCCACACTTCAATCCCACTCGCATCAAATCTGGAAAGATGGAAGAGTGGGGAAATTGGAACAGAAATTTTAACAGATTTTGATTTATTATCGAATCAGAATACAAACTGTTGAAGCTCTGTAGCCATGTATGTATTTAAAGCATCCCAAATACAGGACACTTACGACTTGAAAGATGTGAGCATTAATTTTTTGGTGTGCCAACACTGCTGATTCAAGTGGACAGAGATACATATTTGCATTCACAATACTGTAATGGACTCCTTCTACTCCTGGATGTTATTGTTACTATTTATCCTACATTTCTGCAAACTTATTCATACTAAATCCCAAAGTTCCAGAAGAAGCTTTAATTACAGTGTGTGTCCAAATATGTCCTCACTATGCACAACAGAACTTGGAAATCCACAAAACCTTGGAACGTCCTTCCTACCAAAATCCCTCCATCAAAACAAAAAAATCTATCCGTAGCCAATTTAAATTTCTCTTTCTTCTACATCACTAAATAGAATTTTCCGAAGTTTGTCAAACCAAAGAGAGTTAATCTTTCTACTTCCATTCTCAATCATAGTATTTTCATAACTGTAGCATGTGAAGCACGCAACATTACCTCTTTTCGGATCTATAAGGCCACATAATACTCAGACACAAAGCTGAGGACATTATGACAAACGTCTCCTAAATTCCACTGTGTAAGTACTTACTTGTTCAATAGTCAAATTTTCATATTCAACTGATCAAAAAACTTTGTCTTAAAATGCTTCCGTTTAATGTTCTGGGTTGTTTAGTTTCAGTGTAATTAAAGCCTTTCTTATGGTCAGAGCCTTGCTGATGCCAAGAACAGCTCTCACTTACTAGGAATGTTTCCTTCTAAGCACATTCCCTTGAGTAAGAGAGCAAATGACACAATTGCTAACTTCTATAAATAAAGTAACAGTTTAGGATACCTAGATTTACCCCCCCCGCATTCTGCTTTTTCTGCCTTTTCCTAAATGGAACAGGGCAGGGGGGGGGGAAATATGTGTACAGACACATTCTATAAGCTCTCTATACATTTAGATTAATGAAACCTGATTTCCCTTTTCTTGGTATCTGATTTTTATAGGGTATGTCCTACCTATGTGTTCAGTGAGAAACTACAAACTAAATGTGTATGTTTAACTTACAAGTTTATTTTAGCTGGATTCACTACACCTATGACTCAGAACGAGCAGCTTAAACATTAACTTACCGCTTTACCCTACAGCTAAAGCTGAGGACATTGGACCAGATAACACTCCACCTTCTGAGAACATGTACTCAAAACTTAAATCTTAAAAGTAGCTAAACCAACACAGATTTCCAAAAGGTTAGTGATTAACTCAAATGACTGAAAAAATACAACAAAACACTGTCAAAGTCGAACACAGTTGAGTTCAGCAGTTCAGTTCCCAAGCAGATCTCTAAAGTAAGCATTAGAAAAACAACATTGCAGTAATTTCCAGGTTATAACCCAGTGTGCTGTTGTCACCGTTCAGTTCGCTTCTAACCTCCAGAAAATGGAAGGGCATACAAGAGTAGAATTCTTCCTCCACGTAACCACAGCAGACAAAACGCAGTGTTAGGCTTGAAGAGCAGCTACTGACTCGAGAAAAAGAACTGGCATGCTTTTACTCTCTAATATTTTCAAGAACAGCAAAGAGATTGTCATGGCAGTTTTAACTGGCACTAACTGAAAAGTGAACTTCACTTTTCAACTGCATGGTGTCTGCTTCTTCTCAGTCACGTTACAGCTAGGTCCAGTAGCCAGCTATCACTGTGTGGTAGGACTTACAATTCGCTTCCCCTTCTTTAAAAGAATATGGCTTTGAAAAATAGTTTCAGTACCTTAAAGACTATTTTCTCAAAGTCTCTAAGTCATATATATATATAAAATTATTTTTCATATAAAAGACCCAGCTTTTACAGATCAAGTCTGTCCTACAAACAGAGTATCTTTGAAAGCAACAAAGTACTTGTGGCCCATCTCAAAGTGTTAGCAGTAACAAAGAAAGATCCCCAGGTAATAAACCCATTCACCCCATTACACTAGTTAAGTCTGCAGCATACAAACTTGCCCAGGAAACAGAGGCACCTTCTCCAGGCTGAAGCATCACTTATTCTGGTGAAATCCCCTACTACAAGACTCTGTCAGGATGTACCACAGTAAGAACTGTTTCCTACACTATTGCCTGTCAGCCCATGGCTCCTACTCTTGATTAGGGCCTACTGCACTGTTTCACTGAGTTAGAAGACAGCTACACAACACCTGTTAGATAGGCTAAAGTCTCTTGCACAGTTCCCTTGGAAAGGTTACTGGTTTTGCTCAAAGAGAAAATTACCAGCCATGCATAGTACTGACTCTACCAACTCCCTATAACTGGGCAAAGCCGGCTGCCACCGAGTGGAGCATGCCCCTTCCATATTAAAAGTCGCTAATATGTTGTCCGTTACAACGTGAACCACCTTGAAAACGTGAGTATATTTTACACACAAAACTACACACCACATACACACAGGTTATGCAGAATTCATATTGTGTCATATTCTGCCTGTTTCTAAAAACACATTCCAAGAAGCAGGTTAAGATCTGAAATGAATGGTGGGTTTAAATCACTCGTCAAAACACTACCTGTTACCATGGCACGATCAAAGAGCGTTCCTTATACTAAAGATTCTGCTGACTGAATTTGGTTTGCTATTTTGGATAACAAGTCCTTATTTTCAGCTACTGTTATTTACAGATAGATATATGGCTACAGAGCTGCATTCTGGAAATAAACACCACATTAGTAGTGGGATACAATAAAACTAGATTCAGTTATGCTAAAAATCCAGCTGTGTCCCCATAAAACCACCTTGAGTTGCAAAAGCAACTTCTCCAGTTTCTCTTTAATTCAATCTTTATTTTAAAAAGTATAGCTCTGCACAGGAGAAACTCTGTTTCGACTGAATAAATATTAGCAAAAACCTATCTCTGGTGGAAAGAGGCAAAGGAGGCATTATATATCTAATGCATAGAGAAAGAAGAGACTGGTTTCTTCTTGTACAAAAACCTGTTCCCTTTACATTTGTAAGATATTTCAACTTAGTTTAACTGCCCATTAAAAATAGCACAGTCAACATAACATGGCATTGCTGGCATTCCCCCTTAACAGACTTATTCAAGACAGCAGGTCTTTGGACTAGAAGTCCTGCTACAGACACTCTCAGTCAAGCCATGGGTTTCAGAAGATTTTTTTTTTTAACATAATATTTTACAAGCATGCCTGATATGTTCCCATTAATCTTAGTAAATAAATATTAATGAAACTCAGTGTTGCCACTCCTCATGGCCTTTCTTTGACTACAGTAGGTCTAGCTTGCCTTTGTTCTTATAAGATAGAAAACGCTGACTTGTATTATTCTAGAAATAAAGATCATCGCTCTCATTTTATCAGAATATTTTTTTTAATATGGAAAAATAAACAGTACTTTCATTATTCAATACTTTACCAAGTAAACAGGCACTCAATGTTGCTTTTATATATTAAGAAATAGAACAGTGTCCTACTCACATCTGCATTAGGCCAGAGCTCTTTTATAACGTTTTCTATCCTGTTCACCACTTCCATCCGCATTCTCTCTTCTTCAGGTCTGGGAGACATATACTTATAAAAGTCAATGATTTCTTCATGAAGACTAAGGAAGAAAAAAAAAGAATGGAAAGTCAGGGAAGACCCACGGTAGAATGAAACACCTCTACTCAAACATGCTTTTTAAGCTTCTAGTTGCCTGTGTAGTTAAGGGGCAGTTTAAGAGTAGCATGCAATTAAAAAAAATAAATAAATCCAGATTCACAGCACTCAGTGATGTTTAGTTTCATGTCAGTTTCTTACGCCATAGGTCACTATAGCACCGCATGTGTTGAAAGTCTGGAAGCAAATCTAAATCCAAGCGCCTTCAATTCACATTGAAAGTCACACTCTGTACTTTAATGTCAGCAAACACACAAACGGTTCAGTCTCCAACGCAGCTGTAGGTTCCAAGTACATACTTTGCAAAAATTTAAACAGAAGGTTTTCATCTCATGCTTCCCAGCCAGTCCCTTGGCACCAGCTAGGCAGCTTCAGGCATCAGCCTGTGTTCAGTACCAAGCTTCTGAAAAGTTGATAGTCATTGTGCCAGTGCTAGAGCTAGAAAAACTGCCTCTTTTATTGCTTAGAGAACACACTAAATATGCCCTCTCTCCCCACAACAAGAAAATAAGTAGTACACATGCAGCAGTGTGGTGGCTCAGAAGAATAAGTGATTGACAGACAGTTAATCCATGTATTTTAGTTTACCATATTACATGTGCTGCTCACAGTCAGTAAATTGTGTTTAGATTACTCATGGTTAGAGCTGAAATAAAAATGTCCTCATACACTGCCACAAATTTCTGTGCTGCTATAATATCATAAACACATAATCATCTTGACTAACGTCTTTAAAAAGAACAGACACAATCCTTTAATTCCAGCAAAATTCAGAGGAACTTTGGCACAGAGGAGCTGAATTAATTTAGTTTCCTGCAATGACCATTACAGTAATAGCTAGTTATTTTTTTAAAATGTATTGTTTCTAGTTACCAAGTACAACTGCATCTCTCCTTAAAGCTCTGAGGGACCATCAGAAGAGAACAATTTATTAAGAGCAAGCCCTTAGATGAGATGTGGAATCTAGTAATTCCCCACTGCACACACACTTAAATAAATCAAATGTTAATAACTGGAAGTTGTACACAGGTGTCACAGGTGCATTAAAATATCCAAAAGTTGCATCTAACAGAGCCAGTGTAGGGACAGAACTCAAACTGTCTGCATTATGTTCTTCAATACAGCAGCATTATGAACAACACAAGCTTCTTTCTCTCAGAAACTGAGGAATAAAATATTTACATTACTTTTCACTGAGCATTTACTGGAATTTCCCACACACACAGTTAGGAGAATAGTCATAAAAGTCTAACAATCTGAGGTGGCCGTCACCACAGGCTCTCTATAGCTAACGCAAAGAGAAAAACTCCTCTGATGAGTTCCTCCAAAGGGAGATCCAGACAGATACCCGATTTAGCTGCTCTAAATCAACCTTTGGAGAAGCTTCTCCTCCACTGACACCTACAGAGGGAGTCTTACAAACACTTCAACTAAAAACTAAAACAAAAGAAACCCCACAAAAAGAACTCCTGCAAAAATGCAAGATGCCATCTCTCTCCTCTCCCCCTGTTACTGCCACACTGGCACCAACATCTCAGGTACCACAAGGATGTTCTGAACAACACAGCTGCAACATTCACATCAAGAACTGCTGCTTTCAGCATTTATTTTGACGTTGCCAGATAATTTTTTACCTCCTCCTATGGCTGCTTTCTTGCTTTTCCTTGGAAGTTTACAATCTGGGATTAACATGTACATTCCAAACCACCATTGCCATCCCTTACACAGCCACTGACTCCTCCACCTTTGGCTTTTCAGCCATCTCCTTCTCTTCTATTCTTCACTGCTGGCAGTTAAACCTTCTTACAGCTATCCTCCCATTGCAGAAACTGAATTGAGATGGGAAGTACATGATAAAGGACAAGTTGAGTGTTCCAACAACCCAGCTCACTCTCTGTCCCCACTGCCAGTCACACTACTGAATTGCTGATTTAGTCTCCATGTGCTCGACCACTAAGATAACATTCAAAAACAGGAGCCACAAGGAAAACAGGCCAAAAAAAAGGATAAACAAACTCTTGAAAACACCAAATATTTTTCAACCATAATTTGATGAACAAGCTTTCAGGAGGACCTGGGAGTCACCCCAAGGCTTCCTAACAGGTCTGGCAAACTCTTTCTTTGCAGGCTACATTGTGGGGAACTGATGAAGCAACACAGCCCCGTTTCTGCCTGTGCTCCTCCAGACAGGCTGGAACAGACGGTTACATCCACAAGGCACAAGATTTGCCCCAGAGCAATGTTTTTAGCAGTGTAAGACTGAGAGCACACATGCACTGTGTGCCACAAGGAGTGGTATCATGATGGCTGAGGGCACTTAACAGCACAAGATGTGCTGGGATAATACCAAGGGACTATCCCTGGGGATAAATTAATGTATGGCACAGTAGAAATCCATACTGCCCGTCATTAGCGGACTCAGCTGCTCCTGGGCTTCCGCTTTACAGGAGTTAATTGTTCCCCTGCCCCATAAGGGAACTTTGAAAGAGCAAGGCAATCAGAAATGAGGTCCCCAAAGTGCACAAAGGGCCAAGCCATATAGACACTGCAGTTCTCAGGGCACTTCTCTTTAACAACTCCACTGACACTCTTAATCGAGATAATTATATCAGTTGGTGCATTCTTTAAAAGCACGTAAAATAATGATGTGTTGTCAGAACCAGATGTATTTCGTTTTCTGAACATAAATAACATATGTCTGCACCTCTTTAAACGAAATTGTTCTTGTTCTTAGGTAGTCACGTAAAGCTTTATGGCAAAACAAAAAAATTAAGCAGCATGCAAACACACACAAACTTACATTGCACAGGCACTGAATGTTACTAAACAATGCAGATGGAGAAAAAAATTAATTTGAACATTTCAACGACAGAAGAAAGTTTAAAGACTACTGGAGATAGTCCCCATCAGCACACCAGTTGGAAACACTACGGACACATCTGCATTTCATCTGCTCCAACACTCCATGCTGCTAGGACCGCCTGTGCTGCACAGAGCCGCGGTACGCAGAAGGCAGGCAGAAGCTGTAAAGGCTCAAGACTACACCTGGAACTGTATTTCCCTGCCCAGTAACGGCTGGTGCCAAGAAGTAAGAGAATGATTAATTAAAGCCAAGACAAACAGAAGTAGCCACATGCAGATTTCAGAACAATACAACATGACTTAAGAGGCATGACTCCAATTAATGTGCAGTTAACTCAAGCTGTATCGAAAATTAAAACTCAAGGTTATCCACTGTCTTAATCAACATCTATTATAGTCGCTGTTTTTCAAAACAATTTGTTTGGATTAATGGAGTCTGTTTACAAAAGTCTCTAGTGGAATTTTATATCTTTAGCCGAAATGAAGATCAAAGAGGCTGAGAAGTTATTTTTGGCATCATAACAGTATTTTACTATTTAATGCCATTACATTCATTAGTTGTTTTAGATAAAAGTCCTTAAAAGGACACTTGCTTTTGGAAGGAAATTACACTCTAATAAACTTGATTTTGCTATAGACAGATATTTCATTTAATTTTACAGTCATACTGCAGCATACCAACACTCAAGACCTACTCAGGATGCATGGAGAGAGTTCTCTGCAATGCATAAGAGCATTAGTTTACTGTTTTTATCACAGTAAATAGCAGTAAATTAGTGTGTCTTAGTCTTGTTCTTCAGGAAATCTAAACACATGGGGAAAAGAAAAAGAAAATAGTCTCTTAAACGTTCTCTGAGTATGTTTTAAAACAAAGTACTAGCTGCATCACACCCTCTTTTCAAGCTTGGTAAGCTGATTCCATCTGAGTTTAACAGAACAGAATTATAGAAAAGAGAAGCCACTAAATTTAGTGGATTATAGTGTCTGTTATATTTACCTGACAGAGATAGTGATGCATCATTAAAAAATAAATTATAGCTGCAAAAGTTGTAATCAGAAGGACTTTCCACCATAACATCACTGAACAGCACCGCAAGGAAAGCAACCCTGCTAGACTCAAGCCGTTCAGGTGAAAAGCCGCCGCTTTTGTCCAGGTGCAAGCACCATGGAACACAGTGCACTGCATTCCTTAGTTTGATCATACCTTACTTCATTTTGTAGCACAACCTGTGGGCTCTAAAAGTGCAACTCAGGATTCTCAACCCGGTTTACATATATCCAAGATGTTATTCTGGAGTATGACTCTTACTGCACCTCTGGCAATCAATTAAAAATTAATCATGTACAAACAAAATGCGCTTTCTGCTTTATATGCAGAGCACACAGACCGATAGGTGGACGAGCCCATACACGGGACCATACACTTCGGTTACCTGACACATAAAGCAGCACAACTCGCTATTGCTGTAAGGCCAGAACTTGAACCAACAGTGGCAGTGGCAGGCTGCTGCTTTACGAAACGGAGCTGGAGATACGACGAGTTTCACTCCTCTGCACCAGGACCCCGACGCAGACTAAATGACCAGCCCACTGTGCTTGCAGATTTCAGCAGCTTGGAGGAAGCCAGCCCGACAGGACCGTGCCCAGTGCTCACCAGCCACACCAGTGGCTGGGCCGAGTGGGAGCCTGGACCTTCCCTGCCCGCGCCAGGCAGCTGAGGAGCAGAGCACAGCCTCGCTAAGCGGAGCAGCCTGGGAGAGAGAGGTAATTCTGACTGGTTGTGTTTAATCATGGGATAGCAGTTAAATGGTGCCTTTGCGTGCCCACATGTAGTACTATACAAACCAGAGTAGTAAGTTTTAATTGAAAAGTTTCCTGCTTCTGTCATTCTAGAATTGTTATACTTCACTCTCCTCTGGCTCTTCTCTCTTCATTTCACAGGAGAAATTATGTAGGCATGCATGTTCTAATTTCTCTCACCAGAGCATTACCCATAGCTTCTCCTCCAACTGTTAAAAACAACTGGGTTAAAAATTCTGCTCATCCATCCCAAAGAGCTTCCTCTGCCTTGGGCAT